AAAAAAAAAAAAGACTTCAGCTAATCATCCATCCTCGCTACGAAATTTGTCACTTGATTGACATACAAGGCAGTTGGTCTGAGACCTAAGGCCACCAGCTCTACCATACGGGCAATCTGGGCACATAGGGGCCTTCTGCCAGCAGAATTGTTTTTGCCACAACAACAAACACTGGGCATTGACTGCCATCATCCATGCAATACAGCACTGTGAGGGAGGATAGTGAAACTGCTCACAATAATGGTCGCGATGGGGCAGAGTGAATTTCCGGTTTTCAAATTAAAACAAAACTCAATAAAATTCACATATTATACCTTATTCCTTGTGCCTTTACTGTAGAAATAAAAACACCTGAAACTTCCGGTCCGACACCGGAAGTAGTAATATATTGGCAACAAAACAGACTGCAGGTTTTTTTTGGTAAGTTACTGTATTTGCATTCAGTTTGTCAAAGCAAACATTTTTGTTTAAATGTGAAGTTTACTAAAATGTCCTACTGGGGTTCAGGTACCTGCTGTGCTGTTTGCGGCTGCATGAACAACCAGACCAAGCTAAGGCTACAGCAACAGTTTTGAACACGGACCAAAACAAAAAAAAGATTGTTCCTGTGAAGTGGTATCGTTTCCACTGCTTACCTACAGATGAAGAATTAAGAAGAATGTGGCTGAAAATTTTGAATTTGAAGAAACCACCCAAAACGCTGCATGTGTGCTTATTTCACTTTGTAAAGACTCCCTCTTGTATACAGGGATTCTACTCACCGAGTTTCATACACTTGCATCCTACCTACAAAAAAGAAAAAGACCAAAAAAACTTCTGCGATTTTTTTTTTTCCATTTCCTCTTTTTTCCTAAGAGCTATTGTGCTTTCTGTGAAGTGAGTAGGCCAATATAATAAATGTTGGGATTGTACAGACAATTAATATATTTTGCTTATTTGATATGATGCTTGCATAACGTATTTTGCATCATTGTGGTGTGATGCTGAGTTATAGTGCTGTAATTAGTTTTTGTAGAGTGTGAAGTTGCCCAGATCACTTAGAGACTGTACTAATTAAATGTACACTCAGCTATGCTATGTGATGGAATTGTTGCATCTTCAGTCATAACATTTGAGAATTGCTGGTGTGCTTTCTGCTTGGGTGATTTTCAGTGAACACTTTGTCATAATATTTAGCCATGGCATTTTAGCCACTGGCTTGTGATAATTTATTTCATTGCATCCTTGTTGCCTGATGTATGTGAGATGGCAGTACTTGGTATTCATTTTTGACCAATAAGCAGTGGCACTCCCAAGGGGGCACCGCATGGCCATCCCTGGAATTATGTTCAGTTGATAGAAAGACATACAGAGCTATCTTCTGCAATTCAGACAAGTGTAAAACCAAAAAAATAAAAAAACATACATACACACATATATACCTATACACACACACACACACATATATACCTATACACACACACACACACACACATATATACCTATACACACACACACACACACACATATATACCTATACACACACACACACACATATATACCTATACACACACACACACACATATATACCTATACACACACACACACACATATATA